GTTACCAGAGATCTAGACAATCTTTGGAAAGACCCTGACTACATACTTCCAGAGGGAAGTTGGGAGACAATTCAGTTGCAACAACCATTTAAACAACCAAAAAAGTACAATCTCCGTTTAGTCCAGCATATTCATCTGTAATTCTATCAAGTAATTTCACTAATTCCCTCAAAAGTCTTGGACCTATGTTGTATCTATTATATCACTTGATCTCATTTGTATGCCACAGGAATTTAACATTTTTATTGAGTTCACATTAAACAAATTCTGCTCATCCATTGTCCTCTGTTTTAGTTATTTTTAATTGCTGGGATTTTCTTGAAATCTAGGAAGAATAACAACATTATTTTCTCAGTAATTCATACTATCATGGAATTATTACAGTTCTGGGGGTTGCCACAGCCAAACTAGGTCAATTAACTGGGATATCATTTCGTAACGTACACAAGCATGTCCAAGTTACATTGAAGTCAAGAAATGGGACACAAAGAATATAATGATTTTTCAATTCGTTTTCAAGTCACACAAAAGTCACCTACCTCCACGAGTTAGAGCATATTTGAGGCTTAATGTAGAAAAACGCTGATTACAGTTGATGACTTTATGGTTGAACAGCAACATCTCATCAAGCTGATCCATTGACAGTTTGAAAAGATCAGCTGAAGAATACAGAGAACACTTGCTACTTACTTATAATGGTGCACCAACAGTTAAAACTTGCAGGGAGCGGCAGTCCTATAATGGTGCCATCAACAGTTAAAACCTTGGCAGGAGCGCATCCCTTTGTCAAAATGGAGGAACTGATTTGTGTCCCTTAAAATACTCAGATCTCAAAGCTAACTAGATACAATCTTCAAAACCAAGACTGAAAATCTACCAATACACCTAGATTCTTTGTGATTCCGAATTGATTATTTCCAGATCGGTGTGAATGAGTCCACCATTTGTTATGTGTTGTTCACTATGTCCACAAATCCAACATTAGCCTTCATTTCATTGTTTGCACATTGAAGCCCACCAGCCACAAAAAAGTGTTTTTTGTAAATTTCCAGCCTTCCTGGATTCCCCTTACTTTTCCATCATCTCTCTCACCGTCTTAACACCCTTCCAGCATTTGTATAAATGTTTGGCGCATCAATTTAATCCCTGGATTGTCGGGTTCATGCTCCAAACAACTGCATGCAATATCCTCTGCAAGAGAAACATAGTTGACCATTTTGCGCCACTCTGCTTCACCAAGGATATTTTCAGTGTTTCACTACTTCCAACACATCCTTCATTCTTTTTCTGCTCTTACCCCTATTAGATATCTACTAAAAAAGCGAAAATTCAGTGTTTTAATTCTGTCAAAGACAATGGTTTGAACATCATTTTATAAGCCCTGCATGGCCTGGTAACCTAAACAAGAAGGCAACAAGTTTTGGCCAGGTCTAGACTAAAGCCAGAACAGAGCAATCTTATTTCAAATCATACAACTCTTATCGCATTTATCATATGCCTGTCGATTGCATAACCCTGTGACTCATAGTGTTCCAACAATCCCAAAATCTTTTAATTTGCATTCCGTCCACATTTCGCTTACATGTCCATCAGCTAGTTAGCACCAACACCACATCTGGTTTTCTGGTTGCTTTTCACAATTTGGGCATATGATGTGCTTGCAAACTGTCAGTGCAGCAAATTGAGCACAGGACCGGCAAATCTCTCATTCCCTCAAGTAGTTTTGATCTTTCTGAAGAAACCCCAACAATCAATAGAGTTCAAAAGAAACAATTTTTCATTTCAAATTATTTATTTCAACAACATTGAGCACCTCCTTGAAACACCCTGCACTCGGGTAACTCAACAAGAGCATTGCACACAAACTTTATCTGATTCACATTTCCTCAATAGTTTTGATCTTTCTGAAGAAACCCAACAATCAATTTAGTTCAAAGAAACAAATTTTCCCATTAAGTATTATTCAACACCTTGAGGACCTCTCGAAGCACCCGGCACTTCGATAACTCATTCAAGGCATGCACACACTTGATCTGATTTTCTTTTTAATGCTTTGATTATCAGGGCATTGAACTTCTCTACCAACCCACAATTCAGAACAATTGCCACGGCCACCCAGACAAATTCAGGGATGGTTTTCATCTCAAGCCCCATTGTCCCCTTTATTTTACTACTAGTGATGTTCGTCGTGCGATGCACGATTAGGCATGCCCATGTTCAAGTGAATGTATAAGTGTAAAAGTTATAGATGTTTTTACCTTTATTGTAAATTGCCAAATGGCCATGCCAATGATTGAAAAAAAGGGGTTGTAATCAAAGTATTCACATCATATTGTGTCATTTAATGTATTGAAATACTATAAGGAATCCCTCTTTTTATTTATTAATTTACTTTAAGTTTTATTTTCATGGTAAACAAAATACTATAATGATAAAAAAAAAAAAAAATTATTCAAAAACATAATAATAAAATAAAATTTGTAAACAAAAGTAGTACTGTAGTAGGCATACTACATGAAAACAAGATGTGCAGAAGATTTAGTTAATCAGTGAACAAAACCACCACTCTTTAGTCATTGGAATTCAAATCATTCCAATAACAATCTAATGCATTACTTACCAACACCCCCCCCCCAAAAAAAAAATAAAATAAAATAAAATAAAATTTCCAACTCATTGAATATATAATGGCAAAAGTTACATACAATTGTGAGATAAAAATGTAGCAAAAATATTGAGTCCAGTACTTAAAGAACACTGGATTGAATGGTCTAATCATGGAATGTAAAATTAGAATTAAAATGATTTCAAACTGATTATGCAGAAAGGATTTGAGGAACAAACAGAACAGAGAAAGACACAAACACATAAGTCCCAATGCAGCAGGCTTATAGTGCAAAAACTTTGGTACTATATTGGGAAACAAATTATTTGACCATCTACACAGGTTTAGAAATTTAAACTCGAACATAACTATTAACCAATAAAATGGGAAGTGATATTCAAACAATATAAACATTATCAAATTTAAGTCACTCTATACAATCTAAAACTAAAACATATTTAAAAACCAAAAAAAATTATGTTTAGAAAGAAATAAACCACACCATACATTTTCTCCCATTTTCTGAATTTTGTTCTTTCAAGCATGTTCTATTATTCTTCGGCTTCTTAAACACAGTGACCACCAAATCACTATGAATCGATTTTGTAGCAAAGTTTCATTGACCATCAAATGCATTTGCAAATTGGTTCAACTAAGCATAAAAGGTTCAAGACACAATAGCATAGTCCAATAAAAAGGGAAAAACCGAAAACAGATTTTGCTCAGCTCTCAAGTTCCAAGTAGTATTATAATCAATTTCTGGGATATAGAAAGATTTTACTACCTTACTCTAAAACTCCTAATGAATGCTAATCCAAATCCTTCCGCAAAATTCACTCCAAAAAGTCAATACCAGAATCCAAAGAAATTATCAAACAAAACGCTATACTATAATCAATTCTTCGAGTCAGAGAATGCTATGCCACATTAATAAACAAACACATGCCAATGGGCACACACATACAAACATGCATAAAAAGCTTATTTAAAGAAAAGTACTCGAAGGCCTTTGCAATGTAGAGTTATAATGGGCTTGAAATCAGTACGTATATGCACTTAGACAAACAAAATATTGTTCTAACATAAAACTCTAGCTCACAATTTGATGGTAAGAAAAACACACAACATATACATAACATTCATCCACCAGTGCATGGTAGATTGAAAATAAAAAATAGTGCAAGAAATAAAAATTCACTCATGTAGGCTCTTATGCATGTATCTGTCCAGTGTGTTTACCACAGCATGGTATGTATGCCCTTCACAAATTTCAAAAATAAAAACTCTGCTTGGCAAGTTGTGAAGTTGCACATCAATCATGGAAAATCAACGACAAAGTACGCAGCTTTCCTAAAGAATACCTTCTAAGAATGAGATATGGCTTCCTCATTCTCAACGTAATTAAACCTTTGCTCATCTCAAAGACTAATCTCTCCACCTTTTCCTTGTCTACTCCCATTTCTAATAGATATTGTTTGATAACGCATGTCTAGGTAAATCAAACTTTCAAAGGCGCGCCTGCAAGAAAGACACAAATTAATAAGCACATATGGCTCTTCTAAAATTGTTTCTTGCTTGCAAAAGCATAAGTAAAAAAACAAAAAACATGCAAACAGTTTCCATACAAAGATCCCAACGTGTACCCATCTCCTTCTAGATTGCAGCAACTCCTGATCAATGCATGAATTTGTTTATCCCAAAGACAATATGGCATGTTTTGCCTTGTTATGTTACAATCGTTTACTCAAAATTTCCCAAAAGTCTGTAGTTTCATTAAAAATTGTTCCAAAAACTAACTTGATATTGAAAAATTATAGAACCTGGTATGGAAAAATTGTTATCATTTGTAAAAGTAGGTTTTACGTACTAAAAAAAATTTAAATCATAAGCTATAAATAAAATCCATCAACAAGATCAACCATTAAAAAGCAATAACTAAGACAGAACAATGTCAACTCTACTGTTCAAATAAAACACACACAATGTACTTTGTCAAGTCTACTATTTTGTCGTTGTGTGTTTTTTATTTGAACAGATAGATAATTCTTTCTTTCACACCAAACCTTAAGCAAAATATGCAAGTTAATTCTTTCCTCAAATTATTTATAAAAAAAATAAAAATAAAAAAATACACCCACAGCCTAATCAACATCCAGAACAGACTGCAGTATAGTTGGTAGATCACCAATATTAAGTTCTCAAGGCATGCAAAGTTAAAAGTATATTGTCATTCAAATTGCACACACAGTCAATGAACATCTAAGGAAAAGCCACGGATATCATATCAAAAGGATTAATACGAATTTCTATCAATTCACACTTCTCTTGTTTTGTCTCCTTTACTTTTCTTTTCATTTTTGCAAATTAAAATTTCTGCAGTGTCTTATGGAAAGTCTCTTTTTAAGTTGACAAGCAGAGGCTCCCTAGAAAGGTCCTTTGAATTTGAATTCCAGTAACTCAAACGATTACCAACTAAACAAAGATCATAACATCAATTCTTTACAATAAGGTAGAGAGACTGATAAATGCATTATTTAACATTCAAGTATAAGAAACAAAAAATTAAAAACATTAGTTATATATTGTTTTATTTGTTCAATTTTGTTGGCAATCAAATAAAGCTGAAGGAGATAATTAATAATTGAAAATGAAAGGAAGTAAAAATCACTTCTAGGTTTAACATAAGGAAATTAAAGCATTTACAATATATCCGAAACATCTAACAAAATATCACTTCTAAAGAAAGAAAATACACAGCTGAATAATCCATTGAATCTGAGTAGAAACCTCAAGCCCTTGCTGCAATGCTCAACACACCCAATAGAGAGTCAAAATTAAAATAAATAAATAAACATTACTACCACTATACAACACACCCATTCATTAACATCAAAACTGAAACCAAAACCCTAAAAACAGAGCCTTAGATTTTCCTTTTTGCCACTCACTTATTTCTCACGTATGCTGTGTTTGGTTGGGCGATTTGAAGAGCAATTTGAAAGGAAAAATGGAAAAGACAGGTGAAATATAAATAAAATATACCTATATTTTAGGTAGTTTCACACGCCCTTTCCCATTCCAAATCCCTTCACAAATCCTCCAACCAATCACAACATTAATAAATAAATAAACCAATCACATACCATCATGAGAAGCAACAACAACAATCTAAAATACTAAATCAATAGCATAGACCTGCAAATGGAAATGATTATTGAAAATTATTAGCAGCATGCACTCAATTGCAGCCTGGGAAAGAAATAAAAATAAAAAGGAAAAACTAAACCCTTCAGCGTAAACAAAATTACCTGAATGCAGAGAAATCCTGTGTAGAACTCACAACAGACACCTGATCAAAATGCAAGAAAAGAAACGAAGAACAAAATGTATAGCAAAGAGGAGACAAGAATAAGAGAAAAAGAGAATAGTCGTAAAATGCGAGAAAAGAAACCAAGAACAAAAAGTATATAGTAGCAAAGAAAAGAAACCAAGAACCAAAACACAATACACCCCATATCAAATTACCAAATAACCCTCAAGTGGTTCAGTTGCATAAAGGCTCGATGAGGGCAAAATGAGAAACAAAAATGAGAGCCTCATTTACTGTAGCATTATTAACTCGTTCTTATATTGGCCAGTTTTAATACGTTATTTTAATTTTTGACGATTTAAAATTTTTGTGTTGTAAAAGATGATTGAATTTTTTTATAGTTATATGTGATGTTTGTAAAAAAAAAATATAAAATAATTATAAATTTAATATGATATTTTATTTTATTAACTATTTTAATTTAATTTTTTTTTTAATTTTTGTCAAAAAAAATAAAAGTCACTTGCCAATCGGGGCATTTTAAAGGTATAGATATCACCTTTAATTTTTTTTATTCTTTTTTCACTTATATTTTCAGATTTTGTGAGTTTCTTCGCAAATATTTTCACTTGTGTTAGGCTTGGTTTGGGGTACATTAAATAATACAAAAAGTTAAAAAAGTCACTATCCTATTTAAGTTACATCATCTTATTTAAATTACATCACCTCTCTAACACATCATATCAAACTCAACATAAATCTAACCTATATAAGCCAATAAGTCAAAAAGTATACTTTTTTTAGAATATTCCAAACCAACCCTTAGCCAGCACCCTATATTTTCATTATAATCTTATTTTAATCCTTTTATTTTTATTTGTGATAGTCAATTTGTTTGTGTTTTAAGTCAAATTGTAATGTCATCTTAATCAAAATTAAAAGTGAAGGGATAAAAATAATTTTAGTGAAAATGTAACGATTAAAGTAAGGGGTTGTTTGAGGTGTCTTAAATAAGTATATTTTTTGAATTTTTTGAATAAAAAGTTAAGGGAAAAAATATGATTGTTTGGATTAATTTTTTGATTTTTTATAGAAAAATGTGTATTAAAAAATTGTATAAATTAGTATATAAGAGAAGATTTGTTTTTTTGGGTTGTACGGTTGTCCTTGCATGAGCTGGGCGTATAGGTGGTAAGGGTAATTGTCTACTTTTAAGGCATTTCATTGGACGATGCTTTTCAGCTGGTGGGAGCCATCATGGGTCCCGTTTTGATAATCTGAACCGTCAATGTGTAACACTCGTCGAGTACTATATGCCTGTTAAAAATGACGTTGATCAGATATCGATAGCTATTTGATCAGTTTTATTTTTTTTAACCATTCACTATAATACCATCCTTTTGTTTTATACAAAACTAATTTAATCATATAATTATCGATATCCGATCAACGTGATTTTTTACAAACATATAGTAATCAATGAGTTCTACACATTGAAAGACTCAGATTATCAAAACAAAACCCGTAATGGGTCCCCATAGGCCGAACAACGGCGTGTTCAAATTGACACCAACTGTGCAATTTTCCTTTTGAACCGCAGGTTGTTTCTGACTTTATTGTGATTGATGAGTTGTATTTTTGTGTGTAAAATTATTTTTTTAATATTTTTTTTGATGAATAGTAATTAGTGTGTTTGGTTTGAGTTTTTTGGATTAAGTTTTTTGAAAATTGACTTTTTTGGTTTTCGTGTTTTTTTATTTTTAGTGAATATTTTTAAAATTTTAAAAAAAAAAATTATTTTTTTTGATGCACCTTACTTAGATATATCTAAAAAATAAAAAATTTGTGATTTTTTTTTAAAAATTAATAAATACATAAAAATACAAAAAATGTACTGAATTCTTATTTTTTTCTATTTTTGGTATTTAGTGAATTTTTAAAAGATTTTTTTACTTTTTAGGTGTATTTATGTTAAGTGTGTTTAAAAAGTAAAAAAATTGCTTACAATATTAAAAAAATTCAGTAAAAACAAAAAAAAACATACGAAAAATAAGAACATAGAATTTTCTGAAAAGTGTTTTTTGAAAAGTGGAAACAAACAAGGTGAATAACTTTTTAACCACCCAGGGGTGAGTGGCAACCTGGTAAGGGCCTGGGGTTTAAGCCCCTAGGTCCTGGGTTCAACTCCTCTCTAGGCCAATCTCTTGGGCGTAGTACAGTTGGTTAGGAGGTTGCCCTCAAGGATGTCTTATCAGCTACTTGGTGGAGCTTGCCTTGGGAGGTCGGGACAAGCTTCCAGGTTATAGGCCTTGGGAGGTCGGGACAAGCTTCCAGGTTATAGTCTCTTACTCGAAACGGACAACAAGACACCTTGGTGATCTCCTCAAAGGGGCGTTGCCTTGGACCTGCGGGAGAGTGAGAGGATTTTTCTGTAACAAAAAAAAATAAAATAAAATAACTTTTTAAATAACTTTTTGACTTTTTATTTTTTTTCTCTAAGATTTTTTTTTAAAAAAGTATAGCAATGCTAATGAAACGAAAAATGTCACGTTTAATTCACTTGACTAGTTTTGTTAAGTAGACAAAAAGATGATATTGAAACTTGATTTAAAGTGTTAAGGGTTTGATTGTTATGAATAAAAATGAAGTGATCAAAATAAGATTGCAGTAAAAGTATAAGAATGTTAAGTATAATATGTTTGGTTAGAGTTTTTCAAAAACTTTCTTCATAAAATTTTACTTTCTTGTTTTTCGTGTTTTTTTATTTTTACTGATTTTTTTTAATATTTTAAGCAATTTTTTTTATTTTTAGACATACCTAACATAAATATATGTAAAAAGTAAAACATTTTTGAAAGAAGCCTTTTAATTCACTAAATACCAAAAATATATAAAAAAAAATGAGAATTCCGTACATATTTTGTATTTTTATGTATTTATTAATTTTTTAAAATATTTTTTCATAAATTTTTTACTTTTTAGATACATCTAAGTAAGGTGCATCTAAAAAAGTAAAAAAAATGTTTAAAATTTTAAAAATATTCACTAAGAACAAAAAAACACGAAAACCAAAAAATTCAATTTTCAAAAAATTTAATCCAAAAAACTCAAACCAAAAACACTAATTTTTTATTTTAAAAATATTGTTAATATTATTGTAAATATATTTTTCTGTAAAAGAAAATTATAAATATTTCATAGATTATTACACTTGTGTGATTTTATTTTTTTTATTTTGAACTATTAATTTTGATAATTGACATTTTAAATTATTAAAATTATTTTATTTTATCCTAAATCATAAACAACATTTTAATTTTTTTAACAAAAAAATTCATTTCGTTTGGGAACAGACCTTTTTAGTAACTTTTTTGTTAAAATGTGATGTAAAAAAAACTAGTATGTTTGAGATGATTTTTTGACTTTTTACGAAAAGACGTGCAAAAAGTAAAGAGAAAAGAGAATCTTTGACTTTTTGGTATGAGTTGTTGGCTTTTTGATTTTTTTAATAATTTTTTGACTTTTTAACTAAAAAAAACACTTGCCAAACGAGGCCTTAGCTTCTAAAATCATCAGCCTTATATCTGTTTACATTGAATCATTAACCATAACAATTAAAACTTAAACCATTAAATTTAGGGACATTTACCTACAAGTCCTAATTTATGAACTTATATTCCATTAAATCCTAACTAAGATTTTTTGGACCTTCAAGTCTCATTAAATTTTTAATAATAGAAATTGCTCTTCAAATAATGATTTTTCATCATTTATGATTATCTATGAACATGATAATTTGAATTTATTTTGATTTTCAAAACTTTAAAACATTATTTTTCAAATTGAAAAAACTACAAAAAAAAACTAAAAAAACAAACTAATCACCTTGCTTGTTTTCACTTTTTAAAAAACACTTTTCAAAAAATTCTACTTTCTTATTTTTCGTATTTTTGTTATTTTTACTGAATTTTTTTAATATTTTAAGCAATTTTTTTACTTTTTAGACATACCTAACATAAATACACCTAAAAAGTAAAAAAAATTGTAAAAAAAATCTTTACAAAATTCACTAAATACTAAAAATATAAAAAAAAAATACAAGAATTCAATACATTTTTTTTTGTATTTTTATGTATTTATTAATTTTTTAAAATATTTTTTCATAAATTTTTTACTTTTTAGATACATCTAAATAAGGTGCATCTAAAAAAAGTAAAAAAAAATGTTTAAAATTTAAAAAATATTCACTAAAAACAAAAAAATACGAAAACAAAAAAAGTCAATTTTCAAAAAACTTAATCCACAAAACTCAAACCAAACACACTGAATGTTTTTCCTTTTTTAAAAAAAAATTGAAAAAACTGAATTATTTTTTTATACAAAATTGAAAATTTTGTGTCTACAAAGGAGTATGATGATGGAACTTTGATGTGCAAGACTTTAAAAAAAAATAAAAAAAAAAACCTTCAAAAATGAAAAATTGATAATGTTTTCAGTTTTAAAATCTAAAAAAACTAATAATGTTCTTAGTTTTATTGGATAGTTGAATCAAACCAATAAGCAGAAGAATAAAAACCTTTAATCTCAAATTCTGTTTTTTTTATCAATTAATGAAATAATTATCGAAAACATTACTATGCAAAATTGATAATATTCTTAGTTTTAAAAATTGAGAAAAATTGATAACATTCTTAGTTTTACTAAATAGGACTTATTAGTTCAAAAAATCTTAGATAGGACCTGAATTATCATAACATTTGTAAAAAAGACTTTTAGGTAATTAACTCTTAAATTTAAGTGTCCAGCTTTTCTCATGTTTGAGATCAAGATTGGCCCGTTCAGTACAGCCCATGGGCCCATTTTGGGCCCCGTTTCGATAATACGAACTGTTTATTATGTAGAACTTGTTGAGTATTATATCCCTGTAAAAAATCACATTGATAGAATATCGATAGTTATTTGATCAGACTAGATTTTTATCAAAAGTTTATTTTTTCACTGTTTATTTTTTTAATACAAATCCGATCCGATCAAATAGATATCAATATCTGATCAATGTGATTTTTTATAGACACATAGTACTCGATGAGTTTCACACATTAAATAATTTAAATTATCAAAATGAGACCAAAAAATAAGCCTATAA